GGGAGTTTTACGGCACGTGGTTTGCATTCCGCCCAGCCAATCAGAAATAAGAACCTTTTTCTCCTGCTCTCTTGCAGGGACGGAAAAGGGGGTAAAAAGGTTCTCATGAACTCATTTTAGTTCCGACTCTTTTTGGTGTGAACGCGACATTTCGGAACTATATCAGAAGTGGGAAAAGTGCTGCGGTGTGAACGCGCCTAATGATTCCTCCTCTACCTTCTCAGAGTGATGGTCCGGAGGGAGGGGGGGGTAATCACACTTCTCGATCTTCTGGCAGAGGGAGAGCAGGTTCATCTTGTCCCCATAAAACGGACTCTGCAGCGCTGCCATCTGCAGAAAAAAGTGGAAGACAGGCTGGATGAGAGACATTCCTGGTGAAGACTGAAAACCAACACGATGCAGAAGAGGTGATAGATCAGTCACTGCTGACAGAGCGCAGACGTCCACTCTTTGGAGGATTGAAAAGGAGCTTGAAGACTTATTGTGACTTCCCAGTGACTGATGCTAGGCCCGCTACATTTCATTATACCATGAAGAGCTCCCTTTCCATCATCGTCTAAAGCAGGCCATACGTACTATATGTAAATATGTATTAACCACAGCTGTAGTGTAAAAGGGTTAGGGTTCAAAGTGCTTGAATTTCACTTTGGAAAAGGTGTAAAACCTTGAAAAAACAAGTAAAAGTACGTGTGAGCTTACCTCATAAAGAAGACATCCCAGAGACCAGATATCAGACTTAAAATTGTATCCGTTCTCGTGGATCCTCTCCGGCGACATGTAGTAAGGAGTCCCCACTGGGAGAGAGAGAGTTAAGATGTTCAGAAAAACAATTGATCATTGCTGTAAAACGATCACAGAAAACACACATATCTAATGCTGTTTTTCAAATGTATACTTAGTTATTATTGTAACATCGAATCCATGTATATGAATATGTATGTATGCGTGATCTGTATTTACATGCATGTTCTGTCCGTGCCTTACCTAAGGAGTGTGCCGCCGTGGTTTTGGAGCTGAAGAAGCGTCCTAATCCCAGGTCACCCAGCTTCACCTCACCTGTGGCTGTGATGAACACGTTGGCTGGCTTTATATCTGACACACACACACACACACACACACACACACACACACACACACACACACACACACACACACACATTGAAATGCTATAGCAAAGCTGATAAAATCATTGCAGGCTGTAGAGAAATGTACACTACGTCAGGTTCAAATACCTTCCGTGTTTAAATATCGACTGTACAATAAAATTAAAAGAATAAAAGATGTTCTTGCCCCTGATACCAACATGTAATTGCTGATGATCCATAGCGAGGTTTTTCTGATGGCTTTCATAAGAGCAACTTGTACATTTATAACAGTAAATATAAGTCTGACCCCTCAGTGTCTAAGACTCTCCACCAGGGGGCAGCGTAACAAAGGAGATAAATGCAAGTACGATTAAAAGAACCATAAATAGTGGTGTTGGTTTCTTATCCTGTCAGTAACATACTAAGGTGAGGCTGTCTTTCAACCAGAAGTGTTAAAATGCTACCTCCTTTACGGGTTGTAAGACTCATTCCTGCACCACTCTTTTATGAAATGGTATGAGGGTGAGTAAATGGGTCAGTAGCTGCTTACCACGGTGCATTACTCTGCGTGAGTGCATGTGCTCCAGGGCGCTGCAGAGCTGCACAAAATACTTCCAGATAGTTCTCTCTGGGATGAGGCGTCGCTTCTTCTTGAAGTACTTTAAAGATAGAAGGAAGCAATGTTAGTCCATAGAAAGTGACAATGCTAGATTCAAGATTCAAGGCTTTTGTTGTCATGTGTGCATAGCTACGGTGTAGTTCTCTCAGGTCACAGACTCCTCCAACAGCAACACAATAAAACAGATACAATAGTGCAAGACTAGTCTGTATACAAGTCATTGGAATATTGATATATAGACTTGAAGATGCTATCTGTTGCATGGGAACCAGGCCAAAACAAAGTGTTGCTCTCATCTCACATTATTTAGAGTAGAATCATGAAAAATGAATCTTGATCAAATACTAGTAATGTTGCTGCGTGTAAAATGAGTTGAGTTTGGGTCACTTTTCTTGTTTGATCTGAGGTGAGTCTGTGATCTGACCTTTATCATCTGGGACAGATCTCCAGCATCCGCCAGCTCCAGAACGATGTTGAGCTCGTTGTCTTCAATGAAAGAGTCCAGGTATTTGATCACATTGGGGTGATTCAGCTGCTGCAGTGGGCAAACAGGAGACACACATCTGTCATGTTTTCATGCTAACACAGCATGCAGCAGCAGCTCCCACAAGAAGAAGTAGAGCTGAACTCAAAGTTATGCTCATGCACTAGTTATCTTATGTTTTCCCCTATGTCTGCTGCATTCGACATGGTGAACCATCAGATCCTCCTTCGCACTCTCCAAAAACTTGGAGTTTCAGGCTCTGCACTTTCCCTCCTCACCTCATACCTCAAAGACCGCACCTACAGGGTAACTTGGAGAGGGTCCGAGTCCGATGTCAATTAACTACAGGGGTCCCTCAGGGCTCTGTCCTTGGTCCCCTCCTCTTCTCCTTGTACACAAACTCGCTCGGGTCTGTCATTAGCCCGCATGGTTTTTCATACCACTGCTACGCTGACGACACCCAATTAATTCTGTCCTTTCCCCGCTCAGAGACCCAGGTCGTTGCACGCATCTCTGCTTGCCTAGCTGACATCTCTC